TTTAAAATTGTAAATATGTTTTTTTATAATTAAATGAGGTTAATTTACTATGTTATTTCTTAGATTTCAGGAGTGAGTGAGGTGGGAATAGAAGATTTTTTTTTTTTTTTTTTTTTAAGAATATATATATATATATATATATATATATATAGAGGTATATTTGATTTTTAAATGTTGCACATTTTTAGCCTGTTAAATATTTAAAATAGCGTGTTAAATATTTAAAATTTGAAACTATATAATAAAGATATGTATGAATTTTAAGAAAGAGTTTGTATTTATTTAATTAGTGAATTTAAATAATCCGTGAATTAGATAATTTATGATTGGAACACATGGATTAACTAACACGCTTAGTTTTTTTTTTTTCTATAATTTTATACAATAATATTATAATTAATTCATCAAAATTTATTCTTATTTTTTTTAGAATTTAAATGGTATTGTTCTAAGTTCGTATTACCATTTTATTTAAGTAACAATATTCTCTAAAATTAATTATTTATAAATTTTCAAGTCCTTCGTGGAACTCATAATTGCTATTAATGAGTCATGATCATAATTGTAAAAAAAAGGTTTGAACAATTACAATATTTCCACGAGAAGACTGAGCAACTTAATATATATAAAAAAAGAAAAAAAAATTGAATAGGTTGATTAGTCAATGTTTCTAAAACTCTAACTTGTTTGTCGGGTCAAGCTGGTCTACAACTTTCTTTAAATCGCGTGGAAAATATATATTTGTAAACGTAATAGCAACTATAAGTAACGTGTTGATAATTAATGACTAATAATTAATTCATATATTAGTCGCATTTAGTCAAAAATCACTGGAAAATAGTTAATGTTTAAGAATACTTTTCTTCTTACTTTTGAACCAAAAAGTTTGGTTAGTTTACTTAACATTTTTTCAACCTATGGTCTTTGTTCTTCGAAAAATACTCATAAAAATTTAAGTAAATTCCTATAACAAAAATTTTTATATTTAAAAACCATATATTGTAGCCTAAAATTAACATAATTCAAATATCCAACGTTCAAAACTTTCAAAAAAAAAAAAAAAAAAAAAAAAAATCTGTTTTATTTATTTATTTATTTGTTTTATTGTAGTCAAATTACATTTAATATATATATAATAAAAGACTTTTAAGTTAAGTCTCACCACCAAGAAAATTCAAAATAAATAAATATATAAATAAATAAAAAGTTTAGCTAGTGGTTGAGTGAGAAAGATCTCAGCACATAATTTGGAAAATACACAGAATTTACAAAATAAATAGACTTAAGTTTAAAGTTTATTATTATTATTAAATAAATAAATAAAATAAAGTTTGGAGTTGATTTGATGTAATTGTAAAGGAAGTTTCTTAGTAATGAATAAGTGGTTTGAGAATTTCTGGAATCTTTCCCTTTTTTTTTTGTTCAATTCTTTATTATTAAAGGTCATTATTTTTTAAATAACATTTTCTTAAATTAATATTTATATCAATTAAATCTTAAATTTACGTCCAGGATAAAATATTTCTTTGTCTACACGTTAGAAAATTTTATAATTATATCGGTTTCTCCGACGATGGTTAAAAGACAAACCCTCATAGACATGGAGATCATATGATCATCTTGTGAAATATTAATCTTTTTAATTAATAAATTTATAAAAATATATTAAATATTTTGTGACCGTAATACACTACTCCTATGAGTTGTAATATAAGACACCTAATCCTCTGTGTGTCAACCGAATATATAATATTAAATTTTAAAAAAAATTAAAAGAATTATTTAAACATGTTGAATCCGAATGTCGTCACCATGTTGGTGGTATTATTACATTTATTTCCCATTTAAAATAACAAAAATTGAAATTAAAAAAAAAAAAAAAAAAAAAGAAAATTGGCAGAGATAGTTATTGGGCTGAATTGGGCTGGCAATCATCTATGGGCTTTTCATCGCTGCCCACAGTCAAGCCCAGTCAACGGCCCATTTATCGAGCGTGACCAAAAACCGAAAATTGCAAAAAGCTCCTCCATTTCATTCGTATTATCTTTAAGCTAATTTCACGATGGCCCACAACTATGTTATTTTTGTAATTTTACCTCAGAACATCGTGAGTCAAATGGTAAAAATAATAATAGTAAAAACCATATTCTAATTTTTTTTATAAATAAAGGGGTGAAAAGCAATTTAAATTTTTTCGAACCGGCCCATTATAGAGCAATGTATAGTTAAAGCGAGACATTATAGTAAAAAAATACATTTAATTAAAAGATTGTAACAAGTTTCTAGATAGGAAAAGAAAAAACCCACTAAAACCAAAGTTTGAGATTAAATTAAATTAAATTAAATTAAATTAATGATGTGTCCATTATAATATGATTTGATCATCAACCAATATACCTAATGAAAATAAAATTCAAATCTTGTTTTATTGTGCATCATATACATAATAGATATAATACATTACCTTATCTCTTCACATACTTTTAATTATCCTATACATTTAATATTTTATTTATCATACAAATCATTGCCCATTGCCCATTTATGCTTATGTAAAATCATGTGACGTGGCATAACCAGTACATTCGTCTAATTTAAATGAACTAACTCTATCTTATATCTTATTTATTCGACCAATTGGGGTCTACACAGTGTAACAACTCAAGCCAATTGCTATTAAATATTGTTCGTTTTAGTTTATTAGTATCGTCGTCAATCTCACAGGTTTAAAACACGTCTTCTTTTAGGGAGAGGTTTTCACGCCCTTAGAATGAGTGTTTCGTTCCCTTCTTCAACTGATACGGGCTCTCATACATAAAAAAAAATTAAAAAAATATAATAACAATAATAAATCTAAAAATCAAAATTTTCAAAACTTTTATTTTATTTTTTTTAAAAATAATAGTTTTTATTAAAAATTTATTGTTAAAATTATTAAAGGTTAAAATAATTACAAAGCATATGTTAAATTGACTTCGGTTAATGTAAGAATATTTAGCAGCAGAAATTGAAAATGATGACAATGTCAATAAAGTGAGTGAATTAAAAGTATTTATATTTAATTTATTTGGGAGAATATATATTTAGATTATAAAGTAAAGTAAATCAGAGGAGGGAATAAACTATAATTACCAAAAACAAAAATATTTATATTTAATTTTTTTTAGAATTAAAAGTAATATTATAATTTTTTAGAAAATAAGAGAATTTTAAAAATATTAATTATAATTTTGATGATCGAGTTTTTAAAATGTTTTTATGAATTAGACAACGAATCCAAAAAGTTACTCGAATCAAATGAAATTAATAATAATAATAATAATAATAATAAATGGGGAAGGTTGAAAGTGGTGATTTCCACGTCACAAGTGGTTTATCTCTTCTTTTTTTGGAAAAAAAATGTTGGCACTTAAAAGGTCATAGAATGGAAGAATTGAAGGACAAAAAAGGCAATATAATATTTATAGCCACCCACATTATTAGTTTATTATTATTATTTAATTTTCTTACAAATAATATTAAATTTTTATTGGCTTTTGTTTGTATTTGAATTTAGGTGATACCATATTCCACTTCCACCTTATCATATGTTTTCATAGTGCTGTCATCTCATTTTACCAACTCAAATTCTTTTTTATTTATTTAATTTTTTTTTTTTTCAATTTCCTTTTTACACCAAGATGGTATCTCCTTCTAATTCATATTTCTAGACTAACTTAATGTTATCAATTTTTTACGAGTGAAATTATTCATTTTTATGTAACAGTTCAAGTCCACCGCTAGTAAATATTGTTCGTTTTGACTCATTATGTATCGTCGTCAACTTCAACTTTACGGTTTTAAAACACGTATGTTAAGGAGAGATTTCCATACCCTTATGAGGAATGTTTTGTTCTTCTCTCCAACCGATGTGGGATCTCACAATCTACTAACCTTGGGGCCAACATCCTCACTGGTACATCGCCCGATGTCGGGCTCTGAAACCATTTGTGACAGCTCAAGCCCACTGCTAACAAATATTGTCCACGGTTCTAATTGCTAGAGAGGTTTCCACACCCTTATATAATCTGTTTTGTTCCCCTCTCAAATCGATGTGGGATTTCACAATCCATCTTCCTTGGGAGCAACATCCTCATTGGCACACCACCCGATGTCTCGCTCTGATACCACTTGTAACAGCCCAAAACCCACTACTAACAAATGAGATGTTTCCACACCTTTATAAGGAATTTTTCGTTTCTCTCCAACCGATGTGAGATTTCACAATCCACCTCCCTTGGGGGTCAGCGTCATCACTGACCACTGCCTAATATCTTGGTTTGATACCATTTGTTACAATCCAAGCCCACCACTAGCAAATATTATCTACGGTTTTAACTGCTAGGGAGAGGTTTTCACACTCTTATACGAACGTTCATTCCTCTCTCCAACGGATATAAGATCTCACGTTAATAAATAGACGTTAATATATATATAGATATATAGATAGATAAAAGTTGTTGTTAATACTATAGGCCTAAAATGGGTGGGATGCCTCATTTTGTGGTGGGATTGACAAGATTGAGATGGAAGTTAATATGATAAGATAAGGGTATGGATAGGATTTTTTAGGCGAATTCAGTGTCTTATTTTTAGTGGGGTTTCAATTGAATTCTACCCTTCCCCCACTTTTTGTGAGTACCCTATAATTTCATGAACGTTTTCTTAATCCTTCAACAAAATCTAACTACAAAATTACTAAGAACAGGGCTGCAAATTTTGATTTAGAGCTAACATGATTTGGAGGCATCTTCTTGGGCAGCTTGTTTGATCAAATCTCGCTACAGATTGGGTATTTTGTCGAACACTTTGCTGTTGTTGGTGGAATTTAGATGATGTCTTTTCGAATTACAAATGATTTTGACACGCATTTTCAGAAAGGGATGCCACTGACCAGCTTCTAACTTTCTTCCACTGCAGACACTCCACATTGGAACTCTCTGGGGCATTTTGTCGAACACTTTGCCTGCCTTCCTTCCTCTTCCTCCAGTTGTCCCAATCACCACATTATTTGAAATTCCAACAGATCCCGACGTGGGTTTTCATAATTTTTTATCAACCAAAATCCCCATAGTGCGGTTTGTTGAAAACGATTAAAATATGTATATACAATGCACTAAAGACAGGAAGACTTCATCGACCCTTGGGTTTAAAGGAGGAGGCGTTTTTGAAAGCTACATCGACATATCAATCGCCAGCATTGATTATTTTGGCGATAATGGCTTACATCATATGCACAAGGTTGCTTATCACTAAAACCCACCCCCAATGGAGGCCCTGGCCCTGCCACTACATCACTTGGTTAGTATTTGGATGCTATAAATATTGGTAGAATCCATTAAAATCTCCATGAGTTGGTGAGAGAAGAAAAATGGAAGAGGGACAGGGAATCAGAAAGGGTCCATGGACAGAGCAAGAGGACATCCAACTGATTTGCTTTGTGGGCTTGTTTGGCGATCGAAGATGGGATTTCATTGCCAAAGTTTCAGGTTTGAAGGTGGCGGGAGACAGTTCCTAGGTAGGCTAAACTCATGATTTGTTGTTGTTGTGAAAGCCTCTGTTTTAACACCTCTTTGGGGATTTGGGATTTGGGATTTGGGTTTGGATTTGTAGGACTTAACAGAACAGGCAAAAGTTGCAGGCTGAGATGGGTTAATTACCTTCATCCTGGTCTCAAAAGAGGCAAGATGAGTACTCAAGAAGAACGACTCGTGCTTGAACTTCACGCCAAATGGGGAAACAGGTCCCTAAAACACCATACCCTTTCACTCCCCTTCCTTATTCTTTATCTCTAACACTTCTGTTCATTTCAGATGGTCCAAGATTGCTCGCAAGTTACCAGGCCGCACAGATAACGAAATCAAGAACTACTGGAGAACCCATATGAGGAAGAAGGCACAGGAGAAGAGAAGGGCTTTGTGTTCTTCATCTTCCTCCTCCTCCTCTTCTTCTTGTTCTTCTTCTTCTGGACCAGTGAAGTTCTTTGACTCAGGGGGGTCTGAAATCTCGGCTTCATCATCAACCAAGAAGAAGGGGGAGGAAAATCAAGGAGTGGGTGATCCAAATGGATACTCAATGGATGATATATGGAAAGATATTGATATGTGTGATGATCATGAGGGGTTGATTATAAACCAAGACTGCAACTATTCTTGCCCTGCTTTGAATCCTCCTTCATGGGAGTATTACTGTGGGGATTCTTCGTGGAAGATGGAGGAGGAAGAGAGTAAGCTAATTTTCTCTGGGTATGATGATCATAACGGGAGGCCACGCCTTGCTCAAGCTAATCAGAATTTTTTCTATTGAATTTTGTGTATATGTAGTTGTTGTCTAAGTTTTTGTGATGTAGTTCACTAATGCATATTGTAAGAAGTTTATGTTTAGCTGTGTTTTTGTTGAACAAGAAAATAATGGATTTATATCCATTTCCTTCTTGTTGGCTGTGATGATCTTTAGGTGTTTTAATGGCTGCTTGTTTAAATCTTCTCTGGATAAGCAATGAAGTTTATAACAACAGAGAAACAGGGAGATCAATCCAAATTCAACTCGAAGAGTGCGTAAAACTTTCAAAAATTCACTTTTGAGACAAAGAACAACGTCAATAAATATTTTTATTAACCGAGTCTAAGTTATATCTTCTTAGTAGTAGAGTTCCATGAATGTTATTATCGAATCAATCCTATCCTTTAAATTACAAATTTATAACATTCTTATAATCTAAAGATAATTATAATTGAGTTCTCATGGTTTTAAAACTTTGATTTCGTCCACATGATTTTTTTTTTTTAATTTTAAGATTTTAGCATACGATAAGAACGGTTTTTGTATCTAACTTTTTCAAATATAAAGATCAAACCTCACCTAATCTTCAAATGGAGAAGAAGTAAGAGATAGGAGAGGGAATGACTTACAATTTTCACGAAATTTTGATAAGTGGAAGAGCATATTCAACAGTATGATACACTTGATGCCCTTCCAAAAGCCATCTCTCCTACAATTTGTCAAAAGAAAAATAATTATGATATAATGGCAAATAGTATCCTATCATCCTCCTCAAATTTATTAAATAGAAAAAAATATTAATTGATGTTGTGAGTTAATTTTTATCATTTTTTCTTTTATATATATATACAACCCGTCAATGTAGACATCGAGTTGTGAGATCGCTCATCGGTAGAAGAGAGGAACGAAACATTCATTATAAGGATGTGAAAACATCTCTCTAGTAGACGCGTTTTAAAACCATGAGGCTGCAGGTTATATGTAATGGACCAAGTCAGACAAAAACTACTAACGGTGGGCTGGTGGGCTTGGGTTGTTACAAAATGACATGAGAGCGAGACACCATGTGGTGTGTCAACAAGGACGCTAGGTCCCTAAGGGGGTGAATTGTGAGATCCCACATCGGTTGGAGAGGGAAACAAATCTTCCTTATAAGTGTGTGGAAACCTCTCCCCAGTAAACTTGTGTTAAAACCGTGAGGCTGACGACCATATGTAATGGACAAAACGCACAATATCTCATAGCGGTGGGGTTTGACTTTTACACAAGCATTGCTACTTCTTACAAAGCTTTGCTAGCTCTAGATGGGATGACTATAGCCTTAGCTCACCAAAAAGCCACTTGCAATCAAACTCCGACCTTTCCCCGCTCGATTAGCCACCGACGAGATTGGTGTCGTCACTCGAACCTTTATGTTAGACTAAGAAGTGTTCAGATCGATTAGACACGACATTCAAGGAGGACCTAGAAGTCATCCATGTGAAAAATGTTAATGCAACACAAGAACAATAGCAAACACTAGTAGCCCTCAATGGAGCATTGGGTCAACGTATCCAATTTTGGTGAATAAAATTGATTCCCTATGTAACTTTATGCTCAACGTGTCTTACATTTTACGGTATATATCTCCTTTTGGGCCACAACAGTTTGCCACACTTTGATGCTTGACGCAATTGGTGCAGGATGTGATAGTAATCACTTCTACAAGAGCCGATTATTCTCAGCCACATTCATAAGGGGGAGAAAAAGTTGGGGCTGGGATTTCCATCGGGCAAGAGAGAGATAGAGAGAGAGAGAGTACCTCTGGGCAGCCCATGCGCCAGGATAGGGCAGAGGCAAACACATAAATGAGTACTCAGACGGACCTTCACGCCCTCCAGAGCTCAACGGGGAAACGGGCTGCTGGGTTTTACTAATTTCTGATGGGATAGCCATCGTTGATTGATAGATGATGGGGTCTAAACCGTCGGATGAATCCTACACAACAAAATTTTATATCATTCAAATCTGTTGGCCATCGGATAAAATTTTACCCAAATCTCATGATGAACGTCTAGTAAAAATGTCTCGACTTTAATGTGCTTTGTTAATCCCAGAAGCCATGGGATGAATAAATGAATGAATAAATGAATCAATTAATGAATGAATGAATAAATGAATGAATAATCACCAGGAAAGTCTGGGAATTTATCGACTTTCTAGCCCAGAAATTATCAAAACAAAACCCACATTAATTCCAACTCAAATCCCCCTTTGAAATTTATCGACTTTCTATTTCTATTTCCATTTTCATTCGACGGAGGTTACTGTTCAAGCTGCCGACAACAGAATGTCTCGCCTATCGAACTTCTATCTGCTAACTTACAACTCCCTCCAAGCTTTTGGCTGGTATGTTTCATTTTTCTCGCCTATCTTTTATTTTTTATTTTTTATTTTTTTTTTTTGTCACCATGGATCTGTGTTTCTTGTTGGCAGGACGATTTCTCTTTACAGACTTCTAGACAGTTTTGTAGCCACCAAATCTACTAGTGGTGCTTACTCTTCTGCGGGAGAACTTATCTGTAAGTTTCAACCCATTTGTTTGGTTCCTTGAAAAGTTTGTAGAATCTGATAGAAAATGTTGAAAGCTTTCCTTTTTCTTCAAAGGTTTCCTGCAAACTGCTGCATTCTTGGAAATTATTCATGGAGCTATTGGTAATTTAAACGAACTTTGGTATCATTCTCTTGTTTGGTATCTAAATTTTGATAATGTAGTGTTTTCCCCTTTAAATTTCAGGCTTGGTGCCAACTGGAGTGTTGCTTCCTCTAATGCAATGGGGCGGGAGGGTTCATTTTCTGGTTGCAGTTGTTCGTCAACTTCACGAGGTTTCTCTCCTCATTTCGTTGCATTTTTTTTTATCCTTGTTGGAGTTCTTCATAATTCTTTCTTTTTGTTTGACAGGTTCAACAGTTGCCTTCTGTTTTCATCACTTTCCTGGCTTGGAGCTTATCTGAGGTAAATTCTTTCCTTTTTCCTTTAAGATTTGTTTTCCAATTGGGTTTCTGGATTTTTACTGTGATGAAATGGATTCAGGTCATCAGATATTCTCATCATGCTTTGAATTGCTTGGGAGTTAGCCTATTTTGGCTTACATATCTTAGGTACTGCCGGAATGTTCTTCCAAAGTTCTTCATGTACTCAAGATTAGAAAAATACTTGTAATACTTAAATTTGTGTTATTGTTTCTTCTAGGTACACTGCCTTCATAATTCTCTATCCAATTGGAGTGACAATTGGTGAAAGTGAGTACACAGTATCCAATTTATCTTGATTTCTATAACTTGATATCTAAGGGAGTGCTTAGTTCACAGGTTGGGTTTGTATAGTCTAGTGTTTGTGGAGCTGGGCAAAGGTGTGCTATCTTTTCTACTAGCTATATAAACCCAAGCTTCTTAAATACAATCAGAAACCATATATTTTCAGATATCACAAGCCAAGGAACGAAATATATGCTACATAAACCTTGGTTTCTAGATTTTATTCCTCTATGCAATCTAAATACCGGTATATAACCCGAGCTTCCCGTACTAATCGAAACCATGAGCTGAACATCCCCTCTTCTCATTACCAAGATTATGTTTTTACTTGTATAGTTTACTGTGAGTGATTCACAGAACAAAAACTAATGTTCTATTTTATCAAGGAAAAGTTCATGGGTAAACTTATTAGAAGCATTTGTGCAGTGTGGCTCATGTACCAAGCAATTCCTTTTATGATAAAGAACAACCTCTATGCAGATGCCTTCGGTTACCTTCCCTTCAGCTATTACAATGCCATCAAGGTATGCTCACTCGGGAGATCATTCTAGGAAATTATTCATTTTACCTGAAAATGAGACCACTCCAGATGTAAAACTTATCCTCAAATCTAATATCGTTGTTCAGGTTCTGCTTTTTGTCTACCCACTATTTTTCTTGAAACTGTACCTACATTTGTTCAAGCAAAGGAAATCAAAATTGGGCAAGCAGCACAAGAAGAAGAGAAACTGAAGGTTAGTCCAATCTGGTATAATCTCCAGTAGAAAACTTATCCTTAGAAGTTTGAATTCATACAAGTTACTCTACGTATGAGTATAGTAATATTTATCCGAAAGTCCTGTTCCCTGGTCCTCCTGACCTGAGCTTCCACTAACGAAGAAACATTTTCTATCTCTATAAAGTGAATATCCCGACTCTCTAAGATTTGCTTAGTCTCGGGATTTTAAAGTCTATTAAATACTATAAGGAAGACTCCCTGAGAAAGAGATGCTCTTAGCATCGATCCCTTCCAAACATTCCCATTGAATATGGTCCAATGAGAGTGTGCTCTCCCGGTCTCAGTTTGAGTTTAGAGAAAGGAACCGAATTGTGGTGTGGTGAATTTAGATGGTTGATTGATTCGTTTAATTAGAAGGCATCACAATATATATTTGATCATCATAAGTTGGTGAATTTGATTCAATAGTATCTAGTGCTAGATTGTTAATCGGCAGATAAACAAAGGAAAAGGTTATAATGTTTGGAATCAATACCATCTTTTTGTTCTGTCTTTATTACCACTTTTTTTCTCTTTCACCAACAGATACCAGAAAAGCACAATCTACAATGATTTTTCCAGTGACCAGAAACGAGGAAAAGCAGAAGAATATATAGTTATGAGCCATACATGGTATTTATCAGGACTGGTGACACTGAATTATGTTTCTATTGGTTGATTTTTCCACGTTCAATTGAACTTCTTTCTAGATACTACCAACCAACCCACCGTCAAGAACACTTTTAATTAACAATGAGTTTATGCTATCTGACGCAGAAGCGGCTGAATTGAAATCTAATTTGCTTATTAAAATAAGATATTGTCTCAGCAAGTAGTTTCTTTAAAATATATTATCATCCACAAATTGTCTGGCACATGTATAGATATATATTTTCTTGTTAAAGGGTGCCTATCAGTTATGCTAGCTTGAAACATTGTGACTTGAGATATGATTTCATCTTGATATAAAGTTGTCTAATCAACTTGTTTCTCGAAAATTATATTCAAGTGGGGAACAATGTGTACTAAGAAACCCATTTGTTATTACAGAAAACTCCTCAGACCCATCTAATTCCTCGCTAACCACAAGAAAAGAGACAAAGATTGTAAATCAAGCAACACTGCAGTAACATAGATGAAAAGAAATTCATCTTTTTGCTTCTTGTTTGACATGCTTGCATGTTTGGTAGTCAAAATGACCTTTGTTTTATGCAAATTAGTCTGAGAACTAGTCTTTTGTAAAATATTTGTTTTTAAAAAATATATTCTCTCAAAAGAACTCCATAAAAGGTTAAAAAACAAAGAGTAAATAATTTTGACTTTACCAGAAAAAGGATTTCTATAATATATTATATAGCTGCCTCACTTTAAAGGACAATTTAACATCTATAGATCTGTTCATTAATATATATATACCAAAAATAGTTCAAGATTTAAATATGCGGTTTCTAAACAAATAACTGATTTTTTTTTTTTTTTTTTTTTTTTTGTTCTAGAACATTTTAAACTTTTGTTTCCGTCCGTGACTTTTAATTCAAACATTCAATCTTCTTTGAACTCTTCCCTTAGTCTCTGTTGTAGAAGTCACAGCTCAGGATATGATATAAGACATATGGACCATTAATGGTTTTATGTTTCATTTTTATTAGCTTATAACTAAGAGTTTTCAAACTTGAAGCACTAGATTAAAGTTCTAAAAGTCTAAGACTAAAAAAAACAATGAAGGAATGTGTAAACATGTTTATGTTGATAAATGCATGCAATTACAATTGACCGTGTGAATACTACTATCAATCATGTTTTTTTAACAGAGATAAGACTAATGACATCATTACAACAATAAACTCAAGGAATAATTGTAGTTTTTTGAAGTATGAAATGGGATATAAACTTAGAAATTGAAGGAGGAGATTGAAATAAATGGAGGGGAAAGAACATTTCCCCTTTGGCAAATACTAAGCATTCAAATATATGATTGCAAGGGCCATGATTTTATTCCAAGGAAAAAAAAAAGATGTTTTTGACTTTCTGTGTCCACTAATCTATTGATTGCTTTTGCATCTGTCTTTTCGGTTCGGTGGTCTCCTTCACCAAGCTTTTATGTCTAAAAAATATCCACTCTTTATTACCCCTTTCTCCCCTCCCCCCTTTTTCTTTTATATTTTCCCGAGACACCCACCAAATCTAATCATTTCGTAAAAGCAGAATGAAAGTATGTATTGACTTTTTGAGCTTTGAACGTGTTAGTTTATATGCAGAGACAGACAGACAGACAACAGACAGCCACAAAAATATGCAGCCCACCACCACCACCCGTCTCTCCCTCTGCCGTCAGTCTTCATACACTACATTATACCATGCTACCCCCCTACGCATTGACAAATGGCAATAACAACCCTTCTCCTATACTAAAAATTCATTGAGGACTTTCATCAAACACTTGGCGGGCATTCCTTTGCCACCCCAAAATTCATACCCCTCAGTGGGCACTCTGCCTCTTTGCTAAACAGCCAATCTAAATGCTAACAATCAATACAGTAACAACAACGACCAATCAAAAAGCCCAGGAAGGGGTTTGATTACTTGGGTAGCTGGGATTAAGAATCCTATGACACAGAGTTGAGTTTTTCAAGCACATTGGGTGTTGCTTTTTGGTTATAATCATGGCAATCATAACTATGAACCAACATTTCTAAGTTTTAATCACTCTAATAACAACCTAACTCAAAAGTATTCAGAAATTTACCTGTCGAATTCTTCTTCCTTCCCCTGCCAAAAACACTTTCCGTCTCGACAAATCCAATTAACCCGACCTCCAAAATGATTATTCCCAGTGAATTTTCCCGTCCAAGAATTTTGCTGCGTCGGTTAAATTATGACCACCATTTGTCGCAATCATCTTCCTCCCATTTTTTGAACACTTTCTCTCTCAAAAAATAAAAACCCTTTTCCCCTTGATTATTCTATCAGTAATCATCAAATTTTAATTGATAGATAATAACTCCCATCATTATTCAGTTTTTTTTTTTTATTATTTTAATAATTTTGCTAAAATTGTAAACATATGTGTTAAAGTGGCTTTATGAAGTTACCCCAATTAGTATTAAATTAAATTAAAATAAATTATATTTTAATTGTATTTATGACTCAATAATATTATATTACAAAGAGGAAAAGTATTCATAGAAATAATTATGATTCAAATTATCAATTTCTTTTAAGTTGGGTCATCAAATTGAATGTTTGCTTAAAAATGAAAAAGGAAACACAATTGATAAGAAAATTATTTTTGTGATAAAAAATTAAATTAAATTAAGTCCAATCAATTTCACTTTTAATAATTAAAAATATATATTAGTTTTTTCAAGGAGGGAACTTTTTATTTGGCTTATAACATTTATTTAAGTTATTGTCCCATCACATCAACTCACTTAAATTCAATTTAAAGGAATGTCGAATGAGTACGAGCGTAGGTAGATCGGGTTGATTTTTTTTTTTTTTTTTGGAGCGGGTTGAGTTGATGACTTAAATGCCATTCAAAACCAAACTATCTAATTTTGAGAGGGTCCGATTGGATCGTTTGTTTTTTTGTTTTTATTTTATTTAATATGATCTTACTTATTCATAATGCATGTTGCATTAATGAATAAAATCTTGTAAAACTTAATATATTCATGAGCAACAACTTATTAGGAAGATTTGTTACAAACGTTTAATATTCATAATAATTATAGCGACCTTAAAAGTATATTTGGATTGGGTTTTGAACTATAGTTTTTCATTGATCGAGTTGACCTACCCAAAAAAGTTATACGTGCGAACTAAATTAAAATTTTTCAAATTTTAAAAATTTAAATGAGAAGAAAAAAATCTAACCCAAGTTGGGTAGCGCGAGTTGCTTGAGTTATCGGGTCTTAGAACGCTCTTACCGTGGAAAAAAAATAAAATCTAAAATTACGAAAATTGGTAAAAAAAAAAAAAAACATTTTTAATAGCACAGCATATTTAATTATTTTTTAATTTTTTTAAAAATTTAACTCCAACAAAAATTGCTTAAATATCAATATCTATCATCTACCAATGACATTCTAGAGAAAAAATTACTTTTTAATGGTAATTTTTTAATAAAATTTAACTGTGCTTGAACCAAACTCAAGTTGGTTAGTGCAGATTGTTCCGGTTATTGGATTATATGAACGTCCTAACTAAAAAACAAAATCGAGAATTGGCAAAGAAAAAAAAAACATGATGTTTATAAATTTTAAAATACATAAACAAATGGGATAATTAAAAAGAATTATTTATATCAGAAAAAAGCATCAATATAAAGTAAGAAAAGAAAAGCATCTTTACCGTACGGTTGTTTGAGAATTAGAATAGGACATAGATGAACTCATACTTATCACCACTTTAAATTAAATTAAAAAAAAAATATATATAATTTGGGGGGGGGGGNTTTGGGGGGGGGGGGGCAGGCACGTGCAAGCTAGAAATAGCCACGTACGTAGCACGATTAATTGGCAGTTGCATGTGCCACATCATACGGTGAAGAGAGAAAAAAAGGTTCACCGAATCATGCAGAAAACCCAGCGCCACGTATGCAGGACGACGACGCCAGCTTGGACCTTTGTCCAGGTGTCAACTTCCCAATGGCCCCTCTCAGACACATACCGAACTTCCCATGTGAATTTGCAGTCCACGACAATCCCCTTCCAATTCTATAGACGTCTCTGCTAATTAATCCCCCTAATCCCACCCTTATTATGATTTGGACATATTTTCCAAAGATTATTTAATATTTAAATTAAATTATTATACGTAAACTATGCTTCTAGACTGGGAGGTCGTATGTGGTTGACGTCTTGACACACGTCATGATCATGAGGAGGAAAAAAAAGCATAGGTTAGTTTAATATTGATGCATATTATAAGGTTCCATGTGTATAAATAATATATTTAAAATTTGATAATTTTTGCGATATTCCATGGATTGGTCGACAGGTAAAGTCGTTGCTGTTAGGAAGCTAGGGAGGTAAAAGCGAATTTGGTCTCCTCTTTTTTGGACAGTTCTCTCATGTAACGTAAAATTACAAAGAATCCCACTTTATTTTTTATTTTTTTAAATGTCAATCTTCTCTTTAGAATATTACAGTAACATAAAATAAACGTTGATTAAAAAGTCATCGAAAACGATGATTAATTTAAGTGGAGAAGAATGTCACAATTTTACTGTGAAGAGAGTAGATAATGAGTGCCCCTCACGTGCCAATAAGATAAGATGGTGACACAGAAATGGCGCCCAACCAGCCATGGGAGGGCCGAGACAAGACGAGTGTCATGATGTGATTGAGTAGCCGGTGGATCATCTAAAACACCACAAGGACATGCATGAATTGATCATTCGGACCTTTCAATTCATAGATGTGGATCTCGAACCTATGACAAAGAAAAAAGAAGTGAGTGAGACAAAAAGAGATGAAACTTTGACAAAAATGATCGATAAAAAATTTGAAGACTTAATAGATTTGTTTAAACTAGTCTATCTCAATGCATTTTCTCTCGTCGTCATCAAACAGTGTATCGGATGAGATCCCCTTCTCCCGACATAGCAATACTATTGTCAGGCGAGGAGGATCGTCACCTTTTTCTCCGCCGTTTAGGTGGCGCATGAGGAGAAGGTAACTCTCTCGACAACGTTAACGGTGTTGCTTTGAAAAATCCCTACCCCTTTACTTTTCAGCCGCCGTTTTCAATCCCATTTGCCCAAAGATTCCAATTCTCTCACACTCTGCCTCTGCCAACTTTAAGGGCTTGCCGCTCATTGCCGCTGGCTTTCACGTTCACTGCTGTTACCTACGTAACTTTCGTCGTAAAAACATAGTCGCTGGAGGTGGTGCAGTTGAATTGAAGGAGGCGTTATAGTGGCGGCTTTTGTTACTGTTTCTGGGTTATTTGGTAAATTTTGGTAAAAACTTTTGACGAATATGGTAAATTTTGGCGTTGATATAACCTCTACCAACGAGTTTCTACAGAAGCCCTTTCCAATGAACATATCTGCATCACAATTTCTTACTCAAAATTCTTGTAGAGACAAAAAAGAAATAGAAATCTATAAGACATAAAATCAGTTTAAAGTGGTATCAAGAACTAGGACCATAGAAATGGAAGACAATGAGGGCTTTTAGTGGGCCCATTCTTTAACAAGTACCAACCCCTTTCTACACGTAAAAAATATCACAGTAGATAGAGAGAGACGAGAGATCTGTGGGAGGGAAATAAAATTTCAAAGGAGATAATCTAGAAAGGTGGGTTTCGGATGGGAATTTATACAAGGAAAATCTAACCGGTCTGACCTGCATGTGAGAGAAAGAGAGAGAGAGAGAAGTGTTTCCATTTTTTGAGCAAAGAGAGAGAGAGTAGGCACAGAGATGAAGGGGTTTATAATGGAATTCAATACGCCCCTGTTCTTGGGCGTAGAATTTGGAATTTTCATTTCTTTCTATACATGACCCTCTCTTCCTTTCTTTTCTTTCTTTTTTTTTTCTCTATTATTTTTCTTTCTTGACGCCGACTACCTTTCTCTGCAACTTTGTGGAATAAAAAAAAAAAAAAAAAAACCATTTCTCTCTCTCTCTCTCTCTCTCTCTCTCTCTCTCTCTAGCTTGTCCTGTCCTATCATTCTCATCAATTTATAAATGTCTCAAGGTCCAACTTTCTTTCTTAAACACCCCCTATATCTTCCTCCCTTCTCACTCCCTCTTGAGCAACCAGGAGAAACCATGGAGGACTTGAGCAGTTTGTGGAGATTTCAGGAGGTGGGTCTCTCTCTCTCTTGCTCTCTCTGTTCATGTGCTAACAGTTGGTTCAGTTCATTTCTTCTTCTGGGTCTTCTAAATTTTTGAAGGCCTTTACTTTACAATCATTGTTTGTTTGATCTTCCTCTCTCCCTCCCTCACTCTGTTTTCTGTTTTCAATGCAAAATGATCGTCTAAGGTCATCCAACTTAGATGCCATAATGATTTCCTACAACACAGGTTTTTTTTTTTCCCTCTCTATTCTCTTGCGGGGGAAAAGAACTACAAATGCTCTATTTGTCTTGTTCCAAGTAGCAGCAGGGGTGGGGAGTAACAGTGTTTGTGCTGTTCACATGTGTGTGCTGACCTTTTTGATCTAAGCATGTTTGGTTGCAAATGGAAAAGAATATGTCGGTATTGATGAGAATAATTCCTTACGTTATTCCTAAGGATTGATTTATGGTGCCTAATTTGCAGCATTATTTGACAACGGACTTTGAATTCCAACCTGATTCCCCAGTAGTGTACACTATCTACCCACTCTTTCTCTCTCTTATCTTGTCAATGAGCCTGTAATGGGGATTCTCTATCTATTTAGAAGAAATCTTTTGTTCTGCTGATACTGACAAATCTAGTTTGAATTTGCAGAACGTGGAGGAGTTGAAGCAGAAACTCATGCAGACGACTTTCGAACTAGAGTCCTTAAAAATGGAAGCAAATGAAGAAAGTATAAAGAACAAAGAGAAAGTGAAGAGCTTACTTCTTCTCCTGCAGGCAGCATATGAAGAAAGAGACGAAGCAAGAGATCAGCTGCAGAAACTGATGAGCAAATTTGTGCCAACTACTACTGCAACTGAATTACCAGCTCTGCTTCTTTTCCAAGCTGAAAGCCCTCTCAACATACCCACCAAAGCAAATTCAAGCATCACAGAATCAAACAGTCTCTATGAAACTTATAATCACCAATCTTATGGTTCTTCACCAGCAGATTCTTTCTTTGATGGAGTTTCATCACCAGATTTCTCTACTGCAAACATGGCTGATTCATGCAAAATGAGCTTTGTAAATCAGCCATATGTCACGGAGTATAATGCCCCGCAGCCTCTGGCCACAGGCGTGGACACTCCCAAAACAGAAAAGCTCGATCCATTTTCTGCAGTGATTGATAATCTTGTAAAGGGAAAAGCGTTACCTCAGAAAGGCAAGCTTCTGCAAGCTGTTACAGAAGCAGGACCTTTACTTCAGACACTTCTGGTTGCTGGACCGCTTCCCCAATGGCGTAATCCTCCGCCATTGCAAGCCTTCAAGATTCCCTCTCTTCTAGTGAATGGCTGCAACACTAAGAACATCAATCAAAACCTTCCTTCAAAACCCAGTAGCCCCTCCCCAAAACCACTGCATTCTCTTTTACACACTGAAATGTCTCGTGGATCTTCTCAAATTTGTTCAGCTTCTTCCATGTTTAGCTTCAACAATGGCCCTTCTGGTTCTTGCTTCAACAGTGCCTTGCTGATGGCTCCAAATGTTAACACTCAGATTCTAGCAGCAAAGAGACAGAAAATTCAATGACCACCATTGTACAAATCAATATCTGGAGTTGGCAGTGTAAAAAATGACTTAGTAGTCTTATTGACGTGATTTGAAGTTTCAATTACATTAAAGTTAACTTCATCGATCCTCTCATGCTAATCAATCTAAACTTCAATTTTTTTCCACAGTAGAAGGAAATGACAAGAACAAGAAAAAAATTAAACGTGGGAGCAGGGCTTGTTAATTTGATTGACAAGAAACTCTAACTTCTTGCATTGTTATGTGAATATTATGTCTAGCATTCAATATCTTTGTTCGTTTTCTGCTTGGATATCATCTAAATATAATTTTGATCTGCTTTTAGATGGAGAAATTCAGGTGCAAGATTCCCCATTCTTCTTATTTATTATCCAAAAGAATAATCATTGAAATCCTTCACTAACTTTTATTACCTTCAAATGCTTTCGTTTCATCTACGAGTTTGAAGTCTTACGCATCGAGTTCACCGCCACCAATTCCGGCGCCTGATTACTTTACCTGGAGTCCGTGGTCAATCTCGATGCTCGCCACCGTATACCTCGTCTTTCAACTGTTCAACAACTAGAGAATATTGAAACGACGTTACCTTGTCCTTTATGGTTTGATTTCCGATCGGCCTAGGGTCCAATTTGTGGAAAAAACCTAACGATCCTTCTCCGCAAATCCATAGCCATGGATTGAAGACCTCGACGATTCGTTTGCTTCCTGTAACGCAGTTAAAAAATAATGAAGAGAATCCGAATCAACGCCAAGTATCAATACGGAATGCGCTATTTGTTAGGGCGAATTCCAATAATGAAAATTGATTAAACACTTACCGAATTGCAATCATTCGTTTCATAGTTCTTGCATAGGCGCCTGATTCCGTGACCATTCGATTTGCTATCACTGCAGATCACGCGTCTTGAGTTTCTCTGACGATTGCCCTAATTCTGATTCTTCGTCGGGAATGCTGTAGACGCTCGAAAGGGAAGGCGTTATACGAGAAAGAGTAGTGCATTATCAAACACTTCGTGCTCAAATTCTGCAGAGCTCGTAATTGAAAAGAGATGCATCATTTTCATGGAGCAGATCAACGAAATTGATGAACAGATCATTTGAAGAAGCCAGTTTAATTGATAGAAGGTACCATTTGTGATGAAGCAGAACTGACGGTGATTTTGTTTGAAGTCTTTCATCTACCGATCCCATTCATTCGTCCAATGAAGATCTGTCGCTAAAAATACAGTATTCACGTCTCAACCTTCGAAGTTTAAAATGACAATAGGCTAAATTAATTAAGGAGAGAAAAAAAAAAAAAAACCTTAGTATTATTCTTTAAAATATAAATATAAAATTATAAAATTAATATTAATATTTTTTACCGTTTAAATTTTTTAAAAAAATTGTCTATTGACATCTCGAAAATTATTATTAAAATTTTTAAAGTTAAATTTATGAACATTTTTTAAATTTGGTATATATATTTTAAAAAAAAAGTTTAAAAAGTATTTTTTAATTAAATATATTTTTAAATTTAAAAAATAAATTTAAGAGTATTAATTAAATTTTTGAAAACCCAAATTATTTTTTAAACACCTTGAAAATGTTATATTTTTATAGCTTTAATTTAATTTTTTTTTTGGAAGTTTAATATTTTTTTAGATTTTTTTATATATTTTTAAAATTTAAAAGTATTATTAAAACTCTTAAAATTTAAGTGAAATAGGGTGAAGTAAAAACTTAAAATATATTTTAGTTTTTATAATTTATAAATATATTTAATCGGAAGTTTATTGGAAATGATTGATTTAGTCTTTATAAATTTAAATATATTTAATTTTTTAATTAATTTATCCATTCCCAAATAAGGCAATTTGTTGAATTTTAATAATAAATTTTTATAAATATTAAAATTCTACCAATATCAAACCACACTAATTCTTTACCTATTAAATTAACCTACCAAATTAATACAATTGGTTAAGGCAGGTTCGTTTTTATATGTTTTATTATAATTTAATCGAGTTTTAAAAATGTTCGTTAACTATATAACTCTAATTCTAATGGGCGGATCATAATATTTTAAATACAAATTGAAATTTACTAGTTTATAATATTTTATAATCGTTATTTAAATTAAAAAAAAGTATTTTAATTCTACAAATTAAAAAAAAAAATTTAATTAGAAGGTCAAACTAGGAAATGCGTGCCATAAAACCATATTGTTTCAGTTTTATTTTGAAGATCAGTGATGGGTCCCACAAAGGCATTTTAAAAAATGTAATTATTATTAAATTTTTAACCCAAAAATGGAAAAAAAGAAAAAACATTGAACATAGAGGCAAATAACAGAGCGAGAGAAAGACGCCGGAGAAACGATTTTCAGTAATGACCTCTTTGGGCCTTTTTTTCCCTACACGCAGTTCCCCTCGAATCTCTGTGATCCGAAATCCTCGTCCGTTGCATTAATCGGTCATCTTCAACCTCTACCCATTCTTCGCCGCGTCGACACTTTGCTCACAGGTTCAGCTCTGCATCTCTGGGCTTTACGGCTGTAATGGGTTTATTCATCTTCTTCTTCTTCTTCTGCTGCTGTTCCTCTTGATTTTGGAGGAATGGAATCGATGTTCGTCGGGAATCGGAAAATAAAGTAAAGTAAGTAGTAGTAAATTATTGTTCGGTTATGGCCGAACCTAGCGAGAAAGATCATAAGCTATGGAAAGGGGTAGTTGCAGTAGCTGGAATCATGACTACCCTTGTCACCTATGGAGTCTTACAGGTTACTTTTACAAGATTATTTCATGTTTTTGTCTCTTTGCTTTTTCGCTGTTCTTGTAGAATCTTCTGTTATCTATCCGTCGGAAAATGTGTGTTTATGGTATCATCCCAGTTTGATATTGGATCGAATCAACACTTTTGACTGTTTTAATTCATAGATTAGCTCAAGATTTTGGCCGTTTGTGGGTATTGTTTACATTCAATCGCCTTTCGTTTTGCCTTTATCGGTTGTTGATGCATGATTTCGCTGTATCTATTCTGGTTTTAACAGTAATGTAAATAGGGAAATTTGTAGAAAAACAAGAGAGTATGAACACAGAAACCTTGAGGGATAAATATCATAGTAATGTCAGACGTTAATGCCTGATTTTCCTTTGTGACACTCGAATTGGTAAGTGATTTCAAGCTCTCTTTGGCCGTGATTTGCAGGAAAAGATCATGAGAGTTCCATATGGGGAGCATAAAGATTATTTCAAGCACTCCTTGTTTCTTGTTTTTTGTAATCGTATCACTACTTCTGCAGTTTCTGCAGGTGTTCTACTGGTAAGAGCTTATAATTGGATACTTCCTGCAATTGGTTATCATGTCAAGGACTCGAACATTGCTATTAGACTCATAGTACTTCCTTTTCTGGAATTTCCATTGATTCTCTTGATGTATATATAGGCAAGTAAAAAGACAGTGGACCCTGTCGCTCCAGTTTATACGTACTGCCTTGTTTCGATAACAAATATACTGACAACCACGTGTCAGTACGAGGTAATCTGACTTGTTAGATATGAATGTGTATATCTATATATTCCTCTTCACTGTCTAAACTGTTATTCATCGTTAGTTGATATATTATCCAGTCATATTGGTGATTCGTTCATGGTTTTCTATAGGCACTTAAGTACGTCAGCTTTCCAGTTCAGACTCTGGCAAAGTGTGCTAAAATGATACCTGTCATGGTGAGAGTATTTGAGTTTCCTTCAGTTTGTAGTGGAGGGGCATCTCTGTTGATTGAATTGGGTATTAGATTCTAGACTGACTAATTTTTTAAATGGTATCCATTGTTATACAGGTGTGGGGCACCATCATTATGCAAAAGAAATATAGGAGTCATGATTATTTGCTGGCTGTTCTTGTGACCCTGGGTTGCTCGATATTTGTTCTCTATCCGGTAATGCTCTCGTTGTTGTCACCAGCTTTTTTGGTTTCTTTTAAGAATTTGTATGAGATGGGAATTGGTCGCATCCTGCCTCGACTTTTTGGGTTTTGGTACTAACTCATGGATTAAACCACTTACTACATATATGGCAGCTAGTGTTGAAGGTTCTTATATAGTGGATCAGATATGACGATCAACTACATTGTGAATGAGCAATTATAATACTTATGAATTATGTTTTTGTTTCTCTGTTGGTAATCCTGAAACCCTGAATCCATTAACAGACGATTGGTTACTTTTTCTCCCCAATTGTAGGCTTCAGCTGATCTTAGTCCATACGATAACGGAAGGGAAAGCACAGTTTGGGGTGTCTCACTTATGGTTGGTTATCTCGGGTAATAATTTGTAACTCATTGTATTGTTGTCGAAGGATGATAGATTATTTTTCCTTTAATTTTGCATTTTACGTTTAAAACTATCATGGAAAATGGTACAACACTACAGAAAAACTGTAACGCTCGAGAAAATAAGCATACAGAGTATTTATTGGCTTCAAAAGATTTCTAATACCCAATGAATTTAACAGGTTCGATGGCTTTACAAGCACATTCCAAGATAAACTTTTCAAAGGCTATAATATGGACATACACAACCAAATTTTCTATACAACTTTGTGTTCGTGCATTCTTAGTTTGACAGGTCCGTCCCTATTCTTATTATAAACCTGGTAAAAACTCACTTTGTCCTTTAATGATTTATTCCAATTGATTTGGACGATACTTTGTGGATTGCAATGCTTCTTATTTTGCGTACTGTGGTTGAATGTTTAGAAGAAACTTGATGGGGCTACCTAGTGGTCAAGAGGTAAAAAAGGGTAAAAATTTTGGGTTTGGTGCCCTGGGTGATTTAGGAATAAGGATGTTATGCCTATGGTATTGTAATCCTATATGTCTCATGATAACCTAGACAGCTCGAAGGTGGGCTGTTTCCCTCTCCGACTTTAAATCTTAGCACCCCAAAAGTCTGTTTGTACAAATGATCTAGGCCCGTATTCGAAGTTCCCTTGGGTTGGTAAGACGAAATGGGGCCACCCTAGCCCATTGAGTGCTCTACCTTGGGTCATCGACATCATACGCTCTATTAAAATAGATTTCATCGAAAACCAGCTATATCCGATCTTGGTTGACCTTTCACCCCTAGCCACAAGTCATCCCCGTATTTTGCCACGAGTGGTGTTTCCATGAGTTTAGTTGAGTATTGCGTAGCCCTACTTATGATATGAAAAAGAGGAAAAAGAAAAACGTTTAGGAGAGGGAGAAAAGAGCATTAGTTACGTTGAGCGTTCATATAAGATTGAAAATCAGAACTTGTTTCACAAAATTGGAACTCTCACCTTCAGATTATGAGATAATGGGGGTCCAAAGCAACACGTATACTAGGAAATGGACGTTGGGGAAACGATGTTAGGCCGTTGGACGTCGGATTATTTCATTCTGAGATCGAAATTCTCTGCTGTGAAGGAGATTTGGCTTAATTGATCAAATCTATTCTTTTCTTACCTGCATAGTATTGTTTGGTATATAAACTGCGAAAGTTCCATTTTTGCTCCTTGATTTCTACTGGATTAATACTCATTTCAGTCCTTTTGCTTTGTAATTTAGGTCTTATATTACAAGGCCATCTACTTCCTGCAATTGATTTTGTTTATGTTCACAAGGATTGTTTCTTTGACATAGCATTTCTCTCCACTGTGAGTAACCAGTTCGATTTTAAGTTGTTTGTCTTCGCGTTCATACTCGTTTCATTTGATTATTAAGAGTCTTAGCTCGAATACGTGGATCGTGAGCAGTACTAATTTTGTTTCCCAGGTAGCAACTGCTAGTCAGTTTTTTATTTCTTACACAATTCGCACTTTCGGAGCTCTGACCTTTGCCACCATAATGACAACAAGACAGGTTAGCTCTTAAATCCCATGAACTTGTCAGGTTTCTTATCATGCTGAACCATACTCTTTTTTTTTTTTGGTTGAAGTTGGTCAGTATCATGCTATCTTGTGTATGGTTTTCTCATCCTCTTAGCTGGGAACAGTGTATTGGAGCTGTAAGTCATGGTTTCAACCCTTCGTCTTCGTCTTCATCAACGTTTTATTGGACCTTTTTGACGCTCTCAATGACAACTTGTGTGTGTTTTTTTTCTTTCAAAAATCATGTTCAGGTTTTGGTCTTTGGTTCGATATATGCTAGAAGCTTCCTGAGAAATGCACCTCAGAAACCATCAACTTCCGAAACGGTAGAGAGCCGATCTTCAAGCCCCACGAGCCAATTGTCAAGCCCCGGGAATCGATTGTCAAGCCCCATGAAGGAGGGTCCATGATTGGTTGGTTTTGTGGTGCATTTACCATGTGATAGTTCGTAAGTTCTGGTCTGGACTGGTCCTCACTTTTATGCCTTTTGTTGCACATTTCAAAAGCCAAAGACAAGTAGAATTAGTATAGATTTGTAGGTTCCCCTCCTGAAAAATTGTTGATGGATACATGCTGAAGCCAGTTTTCGTTTCCCTGTTGATTACGTTCGATACGTTAAAACACACCTGTCTGTAATGACTTTTCAAGTGCTTAAAAATCTTTCTTTTCAAGAGTTAGAAACCGTTTTTAAGCACTTGCTAAATCATTATAAACAGACCACATGTTTCCTTTGCTGGATGGGAGTAGATTAAATTTTATGACACAGGAAAAGGAGGGGGAGACCATTGTTCCTAATTTTTCTTAAATTAAAAGATAGTAAAGTTTCAATTTATATGGGTGTAACGTTATATTTTGGATTTCTGAGCATGATAGGTGCAAGTACAAATGCATTCATAACGTGGAATATGTATGTTTCTATATGTATTTTCGAAACTGTAACAGTTCAAGCTTATCTCTAGTAGATATTGTCAATTTTTGCCTGTTACGCATCACCGTTAGTCTCACGTTTTTAAAATGAGTCTATTAGGAAGAAGTTTTCAAATCCTTGTAAGGAATACTTCGCTCCCCTCTCTAACTCTAACTTATGTGGGATCTAACAATCCACTTTCCTTAGAGGCAAACATACTTATTAACACAGGCCGTCTGACTCTTGCGACAAAACTTGAATGGGAAACAATTACTTAATACTCTAAGAAAGAAACGATTATCATTGTTAAAACTTCAAATTGAATTCAAACGTTTCAAATTTGTTAAGCTAAGCTCATTTTAATCCAATAGATGTGTATATTGAACAATGTATACTATCATAAATAAGTATTTTTTTTAAAATTTAATTTCATTATTTTAAAATTTTCAATTTAGTCCTTTATCTTGGACTAAAATTGGTTGATGATAAAGTTACATGAGATATACATTTATCGGTATATTATTATTTTTTTTAGTGAGAAATTAACACTATCCTCTCTTAAATGACATTTTTCGTTTTTAAAATTTTTTCCATTAGATTAATTTATATAAATTAAGAAAATGAAAGATTTTATTGTAGTGGTGAGAATTCCACGGCCATGAAGACCTGGGTTCTAAGCCCAGCAGCCACAGGTTAATTTATGTCTTTTTAATCAAAGTAATTATACTAATGAGCTTATTTTAACAGTTTTTACCACTAAAATTAATTAAAGTGCAAATTGAAGCAACAAAGTGGCTGTAGTTTAGTGGTGAGAATTACACGTTGTGGCCGTGGAGACCTGGGCTCGAATCCCAGCAGCCACATGTTAATTTATCTCTTTTTAAGCAAAGTAATTATATTAATGAGCTCATTTTAACAGTTTTGATCAGTAACATTTATTAAAATGCAATTGAAGCAACAAAGTGGCTGTAGTTTAGTGGTGAGAATTCCACGTTGTGGCCGTGGAGACCTGGGCTCGAATCCCAGCAGCCACAGGTTAATTTATCTCTTTTTTAATCAAAGTAATTATACTAATGAGCTCATTCTAACAGTTTTTACCATTAAAAGTTATTAAAATGCAACTTTAAGCCACAAAGTGGCTGTAGTTTAGTGGTAAGAATTCCACGTTGTGGCCGTGGAGACCTGGGCTCGAATCCCAGCAGCCACAGGTTAATTTATGTGTTTTCTTAATCAAAGTAATTATACTAATGAGCTTATTTTAACAGTTTTTACCAGTGAAATGTATTAAAATGCAAATTAAAGCAACAAAGTGGCTGTAGTTTAGTGGTAAGAATTCCACGTTGTGGCCGTGGAGACCTGGGCTCGAATCCCAGCAGCCACATGTTAATTTATCTCTTTTTTAATCAAAGTAATTATACTAATGAGCTCATTCTAACAGTTTTTACCATTAAAAGTTATTAAAATGCAACTTTAAGCCACAAAGTTGTTGTAGTTTAGTGGTGAGAATTCCACGTTGTGGCCTTGGAGACTTGGGCTCGAATCCCAGCAGCCACAATTTTGGTAATTTTTAAAATAAATATGAGAATTTTCTCTTTAAATGAAGGTTAATGGAACCGTGACGTGTACATGGTTTCCCTGTGCCCTAAAATAGGAAACTTGAAAGTGGAAAGGCAGAGCACGAAGAAGAAAAATGGCGCCATTAAAATCTCTGGAGCAGCTTCACCCAATCATAGACACTACTTTTCAGAGCTTTTGTGCTTCACACGGCATTTTCACTGGTACTTTCTACTTACTCCGATATGATTCCGATTCCGTATGAAGAACCCCATCATTTCTGAAGGAGTGGCTCCGTTTTGTGTTCTTTTTGCCACTAGTGGAGGATTTCCTCATCCATGACCTCTACGTTTTAGCTGCTTTCGCCGAGCAACAGCCGGAGTCAGAGAAATTGAAGCAGGTTAATCATTTGTCACGTTGATCTTTTTTACGCTTGTGTTGTACTGATTTGTACGAGTAAACAGGGGATTACCCAAATCCTTTCTGTAATTAATGCTGAGCGACAGTCATGGATGAACGGTTTGGAACTTTTGGAAGATGCTCGAGAAAATAAGCATGTTCTATCCACTGGTTTTGAAGGGTATTTTCACTTTTAGGCTCAATTACTTGTGTTTTGTTCGACTGCCATGAATGTCGATTCTATTTCTTTTGGATGGTTGATGAAAGAGTTTTCGTCGCGAAATACTAGGGTTGATACTTTGCTTGGAGGTGGGTTACGTGAGGGACAGTTGACGGAAATTGTTGGGCCATCTTCTTCTGGTAAAACTCAGGTGAGTTCCATTTGAACGTGATTGAAATGTTTCTTCCTGAATTTTGTTATGGAACTGTTGGATTTTTGGGTTAGAAACTTGGTTCCTAGTTTCTATAATTGGGTACTTAAATTACTTCTCTCAGCCTGTTTAACATGCCACTGGTGCTTTATTAGTTTGCTTTGTATATGATATGCTTGAACTGTTTTATTATGGCAAGGTTTGCCTGCGAGCTGCTTCAAATGTGGCAACGAACTACAATGCAAAGGTTTTCTACTTGGACACAGGGAATTCCTTTTCACCCCAACGCATCTCAGGCTTTGTTAATTGGAAATCCGGACCTTCCATAGCTCGGGTAACTAAAATAAGTGCTCCTGTTGGACTTGTTTTTCCTTTAAGATCGGAAAATAATCGATATCTTCGAGTCATTGTGGTCTCTAACTAAATCCTTGATTATAGGACGGAGAATATCCACTTTAGCCACCCAAAATTTCAATCATATACCTTCCGCCATTGTTATAGAACATGGCAAACCAGCAGGTTGGGGCTGTCAACAACTCAAGTAGTTCTGGCTGGTAGCAACTTAAGCTATTCAACAAACCAAACAATTCATTACAGTATTTGATTCTTCTAAACCTTAAACAATCTTATAATGTTATGGTGTAGCTTTTAAATAGTAAGGTATCCAAGTATTTTGAGATTGCTGAAAGCTGAGAAGAATCAGATATTGTACTGATTTGTTTGACATTCTATATTGGCATGTTGCTGAATTTCTAAGTTTCTACTTATTGAGGATTGTTGGTGAGGAGTCCCACATCGGCTAATTAAAGAGATGATCATGGGTTTATAAGTAAGGAACACATCTCCATTGGTATGAGGCCTTTTGGGGAAACTAAAAGCAAAGCCATGAGAGCTTATGTTCAAAGTGAACAATATCATACCACTGTGGAGGGTCGTGATTCCTAACATGGTATCGGAGTCCTGCCCTTAACTTAGCCATGTCAATAGAATCCTCAAATGTCAAACAAAGAAGTTGTGAGCCTCAAAGGTGTAGTAAAAAAGTGACTCAAGTGTTGGTATACTTTGGTCAAGGGGAGGATTGTTGGTGAGGAGTCGCACATCGGCTAGTTAAGGAGATGCTCATGGGTTTATAAGTAAGGAATACATCTCCATTGGTATGAGACCTTTTGGGGAAACCAAAAGCAAAGCCATGAGAGCTTATGCTCAAAGTGGACAATATCATACCATTGTGGAGAGTCGTGATTCCTAACACTACCCGCGGGGATTGCTTGAGTTGTTGATGGCTCTAGCTGATTTTCCGCCAACGCTCTGTGAGATTCTCCATAACAATGGCTAGAGGTTAAAGATTGCCTTCATTTCCCTTCTTTTTGGAACTTATTCAGATATTATCTATGGATTAGATTAAGATTTACAGTTCTAACTTCCAAGTTTGTATTTTGTGGAACCTCCAACTTCATTTAGTATTCTATTTGTCTCTTAAATCCATTTCATAGACTGGGCAGAACATGCTTCAACAAGTAATGAACAGCATTTCATGCCACTCTGTGTACGACATTTTCACATTCTTTGATGTGCTGCATCAGCTTGAATTCAATTTGAGATCCCAGGTTCACATTAGCATGCATTAGTTGATGAATTTAACCACGGCCCAACTTTTTCAATGCCAATTAACAAACTACAATCATATCAGACGTGCAAAGGGGATCGAAGAGTGCAGTTACTGATAGTAGATTCGATTTCTTCACTAATTACACCTATCCTTGGTGGAAGTAGTTCACAGGGTACGCATGATTGGATGTAGATCACTGTACATCCTTTGTATATGCATAATTTGTCAAGCTTGATTGAAAGTACATGTGCAATTTTTTAGGTTCTTTAGACAATACAAAGACATGGCAATGTCACTCAGCAAAGGAATTCTGTGTATTACATATATATGTTCTTAGGCAAGATATTTCTGATGGTTTATTCATGACTATGATAATAGTTGTCATATGCATAGTTTAACATTTGTTTCTTTGTTCGCTTGGGTTGTCATTTCAGAGTTTATTCACTTGTAAGTTCAATTCTATGGTTTTAACAGGATAGTTATTAATTTAATGTTGCTGAAGTAGATGCATTAAAAAGAATTTTATATGTAAGACTTAAATACAAAGGGAAAGAAGGTTCATGCTTGATGCGTATGTACAGGACATGCTTTGATGGTATCTGCTGGATCGCTATTGAAGAAAATAGCTCATGAATATAATATTGCAGTACTAGTAAGTTTTCTCTTGAAGTTGCTTCTGTTACTTACGAGATTCTTAATTTATCTAATAGAGAATGAATTAAGCGCTTGTTTTGTGTCGACTTCCAGTAACATGTAAGTGTAATGCCAAAGGTAATAAACCACACGGTGGGTGGAGATAGAGGTACTTCAAAACCTGCCTTAGGAGAGAGTTGGAAGAGTGTTCCACACGTGAGGCTGCAGCTTTCCCGAGACCCAGGGAGCAGTGTCTGCCAAGCTTCAATATTAAAACACTCATCCATGGTATGTTCCTTTAGGCACACGCATCACTGTGCACATCTGCGAAGTGTTCTGCTTACATTCTTCTTAGGGTTATGTAACAATAGAGCTTTGGATCTTTTTCAGTTATGATTTGATTCACTGATCATAAAAACTGAATAACTTGTATAATTCCATTATCTCAGGCATCTGGTATGACTGCAAGATTCGTAATTTATGAATGAAAAGAAGGAACTTCTCGTACAATGAACTAGAAAATGGCAACCCAACTGGGTCTCTTTACTCGAATGGGGTGTGAAGGTATGTACAAAAACTGGAATTTTGCTAGTTTTTTTCTGGTTGCTTCTCTGTGAACTCTCTGTATGCGTAGGACAGTTTTGTAAACAATGATGATGAATCCAAATATTAATTTTCAATTTGGTTCTCCTTTATTTTTTTACTTACCACAGTGGAAAAAATCAATCCCACCGCTAGCAAATATTGTCTTCTTTGGGCCTTTCCTTTTGAGTTTCCCCTCAAAATTTTTAGAACGTTTCTACTAGGGACAGGTTTCCACACTCTTATAAGAAATGTTTCGTTCCCCTCTCCAACAGATGTGGAATCTTACAATCCATCTCCCTTGTGGCCTTGCGTCCTCACTGGCACACTGTAATGGCCCAATCCCACTGCGGTAGATATTGTCTTCTTTAGGCTTTCCCTTCAAGATTTTTAGAACGTGTCTACTAGGAGAAGTTTCCACACTCTTATAAGAAATGTTTCATTCCTCTCTCCAACCGATGTAGGATCTCACAATTTTAGAAGTTGCGACGAACCAAATATGACCATATTCCTCAAACCAAACAAATATACAATCCAAAAGCCATGCACTGTTATTAACCTCTTCTGTTCTATTTTTCCTACTTTTGCCGCCTAAGATTTAGGCTATGAGTTGAAAGATTTCATAAGAAGAAAGAGATGAGTAAGATTAAAAAAAACTCTTGTCGTGTCTTTGTGGAAGATTATCATAAAGTTTGAAGCAAAGATAGTACTGAAAACTCAAAAGGGAAGAAGATGACCCACCATTGTGAAAGTTGAAACCGACTTGGGAGCAATAGCTACACCTTGTTGTCCTTGTCTGGTTCACCATGGCTGTGGGTCATCTTCACCAGGGGTGGGAGTGTGTACCCAAGTTGGGTGTTTTTTGTCCAAAAATGGCTGTTTAGAAACAGTGATATTCAGAATGTTGTTAGTTAAAAGGGTGAAATGATCCATCCAGCAGCAGCAGACAAGAAGAACAGAAGCAAAAGAAAAGAGAAGTATCTGGTTTGAGTGCCCACCCACGAACGATTGCTTCCGCATGCCTTTCATTTCTCACTATTTGGAAGCTTTTGATCATCTTTTCTCTTCCACGTCTCCTACTCCATGTTCTTTCCCACTACAATCTCTTCTCAAACATAATCATCACCAACTATCTTCCATCCACCATGATTCTATGAGACCCGATTTAAAAATTGGATTTCGAACTTTTATCAAATTGTTGTTAACTGTATCTTAATGTTATTAGGAGTAGCCGATGAGCTACCTTCAGATCTTATATCATTCGGTACACACGAGATGACCTCCTTTCTCCTTGATCCACACAAATAAAATGGAGGATTGGTGCCAACAGTTCATCACGAAAGAAAAGACTCGCTGAGCCGAGATCACTAACTAGTATTAATAGAATAGAAAAGAAATAATTTTTTTTGGATACTTTTTCCGGTTCCGTTGCTATTAGTGGGGTCTATGCAATCAATGGGATCATATAGATTTCCCTTCAACACAACAAAGGTCATCGAAAGGATCTCGGAGAGCCACCAAAACATAAAAGCCAGAGTCTTTCAAAAAATGGATTCCTATTCGAAGAGGGCGTAAACCACACGGATAAGCTCACACTAATCCATCAATTTTGGATCCAATTCGAAATTTTTCTTGGAAGGAATCAGGAAGAAAAAAAAAAGGTTCTCTATTGATTCAAACATTGTACCCACGATATAGGGATAGAGAAAGAGAAAAAAATGAGGATTTCACCTAGTACTTTTGATCGAAAAATCGATCTGATCTATTTCGTACCTTTCTCAATGAAAAATGGGTCAGATTCTACTGATCGAATAGAGTAAAAAACAAAAAAGGAAAATAAGTAAATAAAAATGACGCAGAAAGGCCCAGATTCCAAATGAATGAAAACATAACCAACTTGTATTGATCAAGTATTAACGTAACAAACATTTAATTTTAAGAATGGTTCTTTTATTCTCAAATCTAAACAGGGACATACAAGAGGACAGAAACAACTGCATCACAGAAAAAACAATAAAATTTACATAAAAACGAACCCCAGAAGGGATTTTTGCTTTGATTAATTAGAATGTTCTTGTTGTTGATGATGATGATAAACATTGTGGCGTTGAAGAAGAAGACGAAGAAGAAAAACTCGGCGATGGCCAGAGCTCAGCATGCTTAACTTTGGACACACTGGCCAGCACATCCACAGGTATCACATCTCCAATTATGGTCACTTTCTTTGTCGTGAAATCCACACTAAATGATATCACTCCTGCATCATTATCAACCCTACTAATTCAAATCCAAAATTTAACCAACAGAAATACGACTCTCCGCAATAGTATGATATTGTCCACTTTGAGCATAAGCTCTCGTGGCTTTACTTTGGGCTTCCCCAAAAGACCTCATATCAATGGAGATAGTATTATTTGATTATAAACTCATGATCATTCTCTAAATTAGTCGATGACTTTCATCCAACACTTTCGAGTTTGAAATCCACATAAAATCCTTGCAAAATTACCTTCCATCTTGGAGATATGCCTTTTCACCTTCTTTTCGCAGCCTTTGCAGTTCAGTGACACCTTCAAAACCACCACCTTTCCAACATGAACAACACAAAAATAAGCCCAACAACAAAGGGTTTACAAACATTGTTCATAAAGATATGAAGAGAGATCAAAAGAACAAAAAAAATTGTTCATACACGAGAGTGAGCTGAAGAAGAAGTTTTCAGAACAGGGGATTCAAGAACAGAGGAAGGAGATTCGTGTACACTTAACGAACGACTCAACGAAGAAGCCTTCTTAGAACCATGGCTCATCATTGCCGGAGCCTGAGAAAAATCCTCGACGGCGGTTGCCGGAAGCCAGTTAATGAACGGCGAATCGCCCAACAGATAACGAGAAGAAGAACCAGAAACAGAGCTGTTCTTCAAATCATCCATATCCGCACAGCTTTTTCTTCGTAAATCGATATGATCCTTTCGATTCACAGAGGAAACACTCGTACTCTTTCTGGGCTTTTCAAAATGAAGCTGCCCTTTTCTCCCATCGCCGGAATTGACATCTCCGGCGACCCGACGGCAGCCAAAGCTTGAACGAACCGCCGTGGAAGCTCTGGATTTGCAAAAAAGGTCAAATCTTTTCATCTTGGGGATTGAAAGAATGAACACAGTCTCAGAAATTTAGAGTAATTAAATGTGTTGATATGAAAATGAGAGCTAAAAAATTGCTTTTAAGCAAAGAGAGAAAAGGAGAAGGGACCCATGAGAAATATATATATATATATGTATGTATGTATGTATATACATACATACATATATTTTAATATCATTATATTGTTTGGGAGGTAGGTTTGGAGATAATTAAATTTTATTTTATTTTTGATGTGACATGATTACTACCACTCCTAGGAACATGAAGAACATGGAGATATGTTTTATTATATGGTATTATTTTTGGAACATAATGCATTTTTGTTATTAAATAATGACATTTTTCTTGTGGGTATTGTTTTTCTAATCCCAAGTGTGGAATTTAAAATTTTATAATTTGGAAGGAAAAAAAAACTAATAGTCAATCTTAACTGTCATTAGGTCAAAATTTAGTCAATATTTTGACTTGTTTTACCTACTTTATTCTCTCTTGAATAATTGTGTCTGGTTCCTAACTTTTTTTTATTATTTAATTTTGTTTGTTGTTGTTTTTTTTTTTTTTTTAATTTCTTATATTCAATTTTGTTATTCATGACCATAAAATTGGACAGTGGCACAAACTTAAACTACGAAAAAAGTCAAAAGGTAAATAAGTTAGAAAAATATCAAATATGGAACGAAACTAGACCAATGAAAATAATCGAAGGACCAAATATCCAACACATGAAAACATGGACTACAAATATGAACGTGAAGGTTAAGATTTAATATTATTAGTTACAATTGGACATTGATAAAGGAGAATAGAGAAATTCAGGTTGAAGTTTGAATTCACATGATCGACCTCGTAAGGAGCATGCACCCTACACTCCCCAAGTTTGTGTCATCATGATTCATCTCGGTCTAGTTGCTTTCCTCAAGTTTGAGAGGGTAAATTCTTCATCATTCTTACATCTCTTACCGGCCTAAATTCTATGTGGTAATTTAAGAACTAAAATCTACGTAAAAGCATCATACCAATGTGCACGATTTTTCTTCTTTAAAACAAGATTAATATTAGTGTTAGTAAGAAGTTAATTATGGACAAAGAAAGTGGGAAGTTTTTGGTGTAATTCATTTATTCCAAAATATAATAATAATTAAATTTAGTAAAAACGATTATTATTACTACTTAATTTGTACATCACTAGGGAAATGACCACATAGCAACCGAGATGTCCTGGGTTCGACTCGCTTATGGTGGACTTTTTGCGTTTATTTTTCTCACCTTTTTCTTAATAAATATCTTGACAGGCCCATTTTCGAAGCCCAGCCTATTAACCTCTTTAAAAGCCCGAATTAATCCATCGTTAAATAAAGGCTTCTTGCACTCTACTACAGTTACACTATGTTCAAATTGATTAAAATATAAATATTTAAAAATGGTTCTAAAGTTAATAAACGAAACCTATACTTAAAAACAAAATTACAAAAATACCCATTAACTACGAGCGTTATTACAATTACGCTTCTAAAATTTGAATTTGATCAATTAATTCGTTGTACTTTGTCATTAATACAAGGGAATAATTAAAAAAAAAACTTAATAAAATGTAAATTAAATTAAAACCTCATAATTTAGAGCGAATTTGTGCAATTTTTCGAATTATTTAACTCCAAATAATTTATCTAAAAAAAAATATTGATATGGAAAGTCAACGAGGCTACTCTTTCGGGCGGCCATCTGGGCCCATCGTTTCATCACATTAATCCCTCATTGCTGACGTGTGACAAAGTTTATCTATTTATTTATTTATTGGTTCGTTTTGAAAAGGTCTACGTGGTGGTGGCCACGTTTATTAATATGTAAAATTAGGTATTTTCTTTTCTTTTTTTTTTCTTTTTCTAAAATATAATTATGTCCAATATTAACAATTGCACTCATTTCAAAAAAGAATTAAAAAAAAAAAATTCAAAATAACACTTTGATTCCCACA